GATATCGAAACTCAAAAATTCGGCCCGAAAAAAAAACGACAGTGGTACCCCTTACGTTTTTTTTGGGGGCGAAAAAATTAAGTTTCTCCAATCTTCCCAAAACTCTGGATTCTGATAGAGGCCATGAGACTTAGACCTGAGTGCAAAAATGGAGGCTCTAGCCCCTTCCAGAGCTGAGATATCGAAACTCAAAAATTCGGCCCGAAAAAAAAAAACGACAGTGGTACCCCTTACGTTTTTTTTTTGGGGCGAAAAATTAAGTTTCTCCAATCTTCCCAAATTCTGATAGAGGGCCATGAGACTTAGACCTGAGTGCAAAAATGGAGGCTCTAGCCCCTTCCAGAGCTGAGATATCGAAACTCAAAAATTCGGCCCGAAAAAAAACGACAGTGGTACCCCTTACGTTTTTTTTTTTGGGCGAAAAAATTAAGTTTCTCCAATCTTCCCAAATTCTGATAGAGGGCCATGAGACTTAGACCTGAGTGCAAAAATGGAGGCTCTAGCCCCTTCCAGAGCTGAGATATCGAAACTCAAAAATTCGGCCCGAAAAAAAAAACGACAGTGGTACCCCTTACGTTTTTTTTTTGGGCGAAAAATTAAGTTTCTCCAATCTTCCCAAATTCTGATAGAGGGCCATGAGACTTAGACCTGAGTGCAAAAATGGAGGCTCTAGCCCCTTCCAGAGCTGAGATATCGAAACTCAAAAATTCGGCCCGAAAAAAAAAAACGACAGTACCCCTTACGTTTTTTTTGGGCGAAAAATTAAGTTTCTCCAATCTTCCAAAATTCTGATAGAGGCCATGAGACTTAGACCTGAGTGCAAAAATGGAGGCTCTAGCCCCTTCCAGAGCTGAGATATCGAAACTCAAAAATTCGGCCCGAAAAAAAACGACAGTGGTACCCCTTACGTTTTTTTTTTGGGCGAAAAATTAAGTTTCTCCAATCTTCCCAAATTCTGATAGAGGGCCATGAGACTTAGACCTGAGTGCAAAAATGGAGGCTCTAGCCCCTTCCAGAGCTGAGATATCGAAACTCAAAAATTCGGCCCGAAAAAAAAACGACAGTGGTACCCCTTACGTTTTTTTTTTGGGCGAAAAATTAAGTTTCTCCAATCTTCCCAAATTCTGATAGAGGCCATGAGACTTAGACCTGAGTGCAAAAATGGAGGCTCTAGCCCCTTCCAGAGCTGAGATATCGAAACTCAAAAATTCGGCCCGAAAAAAAAACGACAGTGGTACCCCTTACGTTTTTTTTTTGGGGCGAAAAATTAAGTTTCTCCAATCTTCCCAAAACTCTGGATTCTGATAGAGGGCCATGAGACTTAGACCTGAGTGCAAAAATGGAGGCTCTAGCCCCTTCCAGAGCTGAGATATCGAAACTCAAAAATTCGGCCCGAAAAAAAAACGACAGTGGTACCCCTTACGTTTTTTTTTTTGGGCGAAAAATTAAGTTTCTCCAATCTTCCCAAATTCTGATAGAGGGCCATGAGACTTAGACCTGAGTGCAAAAATGGAGGCTCTAGCCCCTTCCAGAGCTGAGATATCGAAACTCAAAAATTCGGCCCGAAAAAAAAAACGACAGTGGTACCCCTTACGTTTTTTTTTTGGGCGAAAAATTAAGTTTCTCCAATCTTCCCAAATTCTGATAGAGGGCCATGAGACTTAGACCTGAGTGCAAAAATGGAGGCTCTAGCCCCTTCCAGAGCTGAGATATCGAAACTCAAAAATTCGGCCCGAAAAAAAAACGACAGTGGTACCCCTTACGTTTTTTTTTTTGGGCGAAAAATTAAGTTTCTCCAATCTTCCCAAATTCTGATAGAGGGCCATGAGACTTAGACCTGAGTGCAAAAATGGAGGCTCTAGCCCCTTCCAGAGCTGAGATATCGAAACTCAAAAATTCGGCCCGAAAAAAAAACGACAGTGGTACCCCTTACGTTTTTTTTTTTGGGCGAAAAATTAAGTTTCTCCAATCTTCCCAAATTCTGATAGAGGGCCATGAGACTTAGACCTGAGTGCAAAAATGGAGGCTCTAGCCCCTTCCAGAGCTGAGATATCGAAACTCAAAAATTCGGCCCGAAAAAAAAACGACAGTGGTACCCTTACGTTTTTTTTTTGGGCGAAAAATTAAGTTTCTCCAATCTTCCCAAATTCTGATAGAGGGCCATGAGACTTAGACCTGAGTGCAAAAATGGAGGCTCTAGCCCCTTCCAGAGCTGAGATATCGAAACTCAAAAATTCGGCCCGAAAAAAAAAACGACAGTGGTACCCCTTACGTTTTTTTTTTTTGGGCGAAAAATTAAGTTTCTCCAATCTTCCCAAATTCTGATAGAGGGCCATGAGACTTAGACCTGAGTGCAAAAATGGAGGCTCTAGCCCCTTCCAGAGCTGAGATATCGAAACTCAAAAATTCGGCCCGAAAAAAAAACGACAGTGGTACCCCTTACGTTTTTTTTTTGGGCGAAAAATTAAGTTTCTCCAATCTTCCCAAATTCTGATAGAGGGCCATGAGACTTAGACCTGAGTGCAAAAATGGAGGCTCTAGCCCCTTCCAGAGCTGAGATATCGAAACTCAAAAATTCGGCCCGAAAAAAAAACGACAGTGGTACCCCTTACGTTTTTTTTGGGGGCGAAAAATTAAGTTTCTCCAATCTTCCCAAAACTCTGGATTCTGATAGAGGGCCATGAGACTTAGACCTGAGTGCAAAAATGGAGGCTCTAGCCCCTTCCAGAGCTGAGATATCGAAACTCAAAAATTCGGCCCGAAAAAAAAACGACAGTGGTACCCCTTACGTTTTTTTTTTGGGCGAAAAATTAAGTTTCTCCAATCTTCCCAAATTCTGATAGAGGGCCATGAGACTTAGACCTGAGTGCAAAAATGGAGGCTCTAGCCCCTTCCAGAGCTGAGATATCGAAACTCAAAAATTCGGCCCGAAAAAAAAAACGACAGTGGTACCCCTTACGTTTTTTTTTTTTGGGAAAAATTAAGTTTCTCCAATCTTCCCAAATTCTGATAGAGGGCCATGAGACTTAGACCTGAGTGCAAAAATGGAGGCTCTAGCCCCTTCCAGAGCTGAGATATCGAAACTCAAAAATTCGGCCCGAAAAAAAAAACGACAGTGGTACCCCTTACGTTTTTTTTGGGGGGCGAAAAATTAAGTTTCTCCAATCTTCCCAAAACTCTGGATTCTGATAGAGGGCCATGAGACTTAGACCTGAGTGCAAAAATGGAGGCTCTAGCCCCTTCCAGAGCTGAGATATCGAAACTCAAAAATTCGCCCGAAAAAAAAAACGACAGTGGTACCCCTTTCGTTTTTTTTTTTTTCGGGTGAAAACTTAAGTTTCTCCAATCTTCTCAAAACTCTGGGTTTAAGTGGTACCCCTTTCGGGGGTTTGGAAGGGTCTCAGCTCTGGAAGGGTCTAGAGCCTCCATTTTTGTACTCAGGTCTAAGTCTCATTGCCCTCTATCAGAATCCAGAGTTTTGAGAAGATTGGAGAAACTTAATTTCTTAATTTCTTAACACTTAAAGGGATAGTTCACCCAAAAATGAAAATTAGCCCATGATTTACTCACCCCGAATGACTTTCTTCTTTTAGCCAAACACAATCAGAGTTATATAAAAAAATATGCTCATCCAAGTTTTATAATGGGACTGAATGGTGTCTTAGAAGCCGGAAAAAGTGCATCCATCCATCATAACAGTAGTCCATATGCCTCCAGGGGTTGATCAAAGTTTTTGTTAGAAAATTAAAAAAATGGATGCCATTACCCGAAGCCAGTGATTATAGTTTATAAAGTTATAAATAGGGATATTTTTCAATATTCACAAAACGGATAATTTCGCATCAGAAGGCCTTTAATAATAATAATGCATTACTTATTGAATTACTTAATTTATATGTGCTTTTTTGAGCTTCAAAATCTCAGGTACCATTCACTCCCATTATAAAGACAGGATATCTTTTAATATAACTGTTATTGTGCTCATGAAGAAACTCATATACTCCTAGGATGGCTTGATGGTGAGTAAATGATGGGACATATATATATATATATATATTTCTTTGCTTGAACAAACCCTTTAAAATTAGTCTTAAGAATTAGCCTGACCAGCAAGCAGTTAATTAGGGCTAATCAGTCTTACTTCTTGGATTCAAATTAGACCAATCTATCTTTTTATGTAACTGACTTAAAGTTATGATCAGTCTTGACTAGTCTAAGCAGATTATGGCCCAATTATATGATGTAACCTGCTTTTTATAGACTTTTTCATTGCACTTCTTTTTGGTTCTTTAACATCCATAGAAACTTTCCATTGCACAAAAGTTCTTCATACTGGAAAAAAAGTTATTTATATTTACGGGTGTCAAGATTCGATACATATCACGATACTGAACTCACGATACGATATTATTGCAATACTCCAAGACATATGCGAACAAAAAATGTACTGTTGATTAAAATGCTAAATTTGATATCACATTGTGTGTGTAAATGATCACGCTCGGACTTGGTGCTGAAACCCAAAGCACAGGACAATAGAATAACAATACTCATGATTCTGAAGCTGAAAATACTGAATTATTGTAGACGAATATGCTTTCAATGTCACTGACTAGATATATTTAAAATAATGTACATCACTTTTTACTGGTAACATCAGACATTTGGCATTATCAGGACCCACAAATATCCCCCATTGCATTATTATACATTATATTCAACATATATAGTAGTTTAATGTTTTACACTGTAATTTTTTACACTGGGTGAATTATACACGATACATAGTCGCTATATCCACGATGCATATTGCATTTTTCTATTGCGATATATTGTTACTCTATTTAAATTAGATCTAAATGGTGATTTTCTAATAACTGTTCACTGAAGGGTTATTTTGGGGCTCAAAGTAGTTTTACTATGGCATTTCTGTGAAAACCTTAGACCTGTGCATCTATGAGTACAGTATGAGTGTTGAGTGTTGTTTGCTTGTGTTCCAGAGTGAACGACGAGGACGTGAGATTGATGTTGTGGGACACGGCAGGACAGGAGGAGTTTGACGCCATCACCAAGGCCTATTACAGAGGTGCGAGTGTGTTCCCATACTGGGCTGTTTCTGCTGTGTGTGTGTGTGTGTGACTGACGTGTGGTCGTCTCGCAGGAGCTCAGGCGTGTGTGCTGGTGTTCTCCACCACCGACAGAGACTCGTTCGAGGCCATCGGCAGCTGGAGGGAGAAGGTGGAGATGGAGGTGGGCGACATTCCCACGGTCCTGGTGCAGAACAAGATCGACCTGCTGGACGACACCGTGATCAAGAAGTAAGAGTCAGCGATGCGCTTTAAAGGTGCCATTTTTAGTGCCATCCAGTGGTGATGTTGCGAATTGCACCCAACGGAAGTTACGGTGGCCGACAGGAAGTGATGTCGTCTGAGACAGCAGAGAGTATCCAGATAAATGGGTGGTTGATTATGATTCAACTTTTCTAACTTTAAAAAGTTACAGAATTTTATGTTTATTGTTATGAAAAGTACACAAAAGTACTCTTTCAAATTTGTATATGAAATCTATATATTAAAAAACACATCTTACTTTAAAACTGCAAGAAAATCGAACCCATTATTCTCTGTGTGTGTGTGTGTGTGTGTGGCTTCAGTGAAGAGGCCGAAGGTCTTGCTAAGAGGCTGAAACTGAGATTCTACCGCACATCAGTGAAGGAAGATCTCAACGTCAATGAAGGTGAGAGATGGAGCTTTTCCGCTCACTAAACTGATTATGCTTTATTATTAAATAACACAATTTATTTGTTGTAGTTTTTAAGTATCTGGCTGACAAATATCTGCATCGACTCAAGCAACAGTCAGCGGAGGAGAGCGAGGTCGTTCACACATCCAGCAATAAAATAGGTAAGACTGAACTTTTGTGTGACATCATCACTTTAAATACGGCGCTGTTCAAATGTAGTATTCTCTCTTTTTTTCTTCTTTATAAAATGTTTCTTTTTCAAATAAATGTCCTTTTGAACTTTCTATTCATCAAAGAATCTTGAAAACAAAGTGTCATGGTTTCCACAAAAATATAAAGCACAGCTGATTTCAACATTGATAATAATCATAGTGATTAATCAGAGTGATTTCTGAAGGATCATGTGACACTGAAGACTGGAGTAATGATGCTGAAAATACAGCTTTGATCACAGAAATAAATTACTTTTTTTTTGATATATTCACATAGAAAACACTTATTTTTAATTGTAATAATATTTCATAGAAATATTATTATATATAGAGAAGATATTATATTATTATATATACAGAAGATTATATATATTTATATTTAATTGTTTTTTTTTTACTAGGGTCAAAGCTAACGCTAAACCTTGACACCCACTCTTATTAATATAGGTTTTATTTTATTATTATTATTTTTTGCATATTTAACCAACCAGAGTTGATCAAACTTCAGATGTGTCACGATCATGCATTTGTATGTAGTCTCTTGCTCTTTTCCCCAGGTGTTTTTAACACTTCCGGCGGCACTCATCTGAACCAGAACAGCGGCGATCTGAACGGGCGTGATGTCATCAACCTGCGACCAAACAAGCAGAGGACGAAGAAAACGAAAAACCCGTTCGGCGGCTGCAGACTCCTGTAGAACGGCTTCATAGTGTGTGTGTGTGTGTGTGTGTGTGTGTGTGTCATCCGTCACGGACTCCTGTGGATGAGTGTGAGAGCTGCAACTGCTCCAAACAGCCGTTTCTGCGCCAATAGCAGCATTTCACGGAGGAAACACGACACACACATGCTCTACTGGCGCAGAAGTGACGCGGCGTGTGCCCTCAGTGAGCGACGGTAAATTGGAGGTCTGTTAAGATATTTTTGTATGCGTATTCAAATCGTTTGGACACTGCCCCGTCCTCTCATTTTAACAATGATTGTGGCTCAAAATTGAATCTATGTTCTCACAGATGTGCATTATTGGATGTGGTACACAGCAGGGTAATATTCAGATGTTCTCTAATGAGATTACTTACAAAAGAAACACACCATTTGTGCATTTGGACTGTTCATCGTTTGTGCAATATGTTCGTATGGATGGAGATGCATATTTGCAATCTTCCCTTAACAGTAATGTTCATTTGTTTCTTATATGAGCAGTGTCATGAAGGTCAACACATACGTTCTTATAGGTATTTTTGTATGAGAAATGTAGTAAAGTAACGACTTACTGAAATCCGTGACATTAACACAGTGCCAAAATGTTTCTACTTGTACGAAATGTAAATAGTGTTAGGAAATGGTTGAACGAGTCATATTTTTAGATATTAGTATGCTCTTCATATTCGAACTCAATACCAAATGCAAGAGATGGAATTATATAAACATATTCTTTTGGAATAAGGAAGTTAAATTTTTTTTATTATTATTAATCATTTGCTGACAGCTGGCAGTGTTTCAGATATTAAAGCATACGACATCATCATACACTTACTGCTAGGGCTGGGCGATATATAGCTACTAAAATATATATTTATTGATTATATTATTAAGCCTCTATAGAAATATTCCACATTCATCTTAATATATATATATATATATATATATATATATATATATATATATATATATATATATATATATATATATATATATATATATATATATATATATATATATATATGCAGTAAAAATCATTTTTTAAATTTAATGAACAAAATTGCAATTATATTATAACTTATCATTTCATATGCACCAAAGTAACAAAAACTAAACATCGATATTTGTTTACATATTGTATTTTTTACTAAAACATTGCAGGACCATTAAAAAAACAACATTAATGATTGAATTATATAAAAACAATTTTTCAGTTTCTTTTTCAAAAACTATGATGGATAATTAATAATAACAATAATAATTTATTTTATCAAATTTTTAATCAACGGTATGTTTTAATTAAAATGCTTTTATTATCGTCATGACGTGTAGAACAAAAGTATTGCTAAAGTATTGTTTTTGTTTTTAAGTTTACGGTTTATATATCTCATTAAAATAACATGTGAAATATATAAAGATTTACTTTGAAGTCAGTGACCTCTTCCTGCCTAAATGTGTCATTGCATCAAGAAATGTTTGATTATAACATCTGGATGCTTCAAATTAATCGGGTGAATGCACATCTTAAACACTTTATTGTACAATACGTTTTTGCATATATTTCCTAGTAACTTCACTATTAGAGACGCTACCAGACACTAATGCATTCATATTAATGTAATCTTTACTATGCTACTTTATCTGTATCGGATTTAAATACGGAAGAGAAATACAACGACCCAAAGACAAAAGAGCTGATAGAGCTGCCGTAGCTGTGCATGTCTAATTCGATTATTACTAGTAAAAATTACAATTAAAGAGCGGTCTAATTCAATTATTACTAGTAAAAATTACAATTAAAGAGCTGTCTAATTCAATTATTATTAGTAAAAATTACAATTAAAGAGCTGTCTAATTCGGTCATTACTAGTAAAAATTACAATTAAAGAGCTGTCTAGTTCAATTATTACTAGTAAAAATTACAATTAAAGAGCTGTCTAATTCAATTATTACTAGTAAAAATTACAATTAAAGAGCTGTCTAATTCGATTATTACTAGTAAAAATGACAATCAAACAGCTGTCTAATTCAATTATTACTAGTAAAAATTACAATCAAAGAGCGGTCTAGTTCAATTATTACTAGTAAAAATTACAATTAAAGAGCTGTCTAATTCAATTATTACTAGTAAAAATTACAATTAAAGAGCTGTCTAATTCGATTATTACTAGTAAAAATGACAATCAAAGAGCTGTCTAATTCAATTATTACTAGTAAAAATTACAATCAAAGAGCGGTCTAGTTCAATTATTACTAGTAAAAATTACAATTAAAGAGCTGTCTAATTCAATTATTACTAGTAAAAATTACAATCAAAGAGCGGTCTAGTTCAATTATTACTAGTAAAAATTACAATTAAAGAGCTCTCTAATTAAATTATTACTAGTAAAAATTACAATCAAAGAGCTGTCTAATTCAATTATTACTAGTAAAAATTACAATCAAAGAGCGGTCTAGTTCAATTATTACTAGTAAAAATTACAATCAAAGAGCGGTCTAATTCAATTATTACTAATAAAAATTACAATTAAAAAGCTCTCTAATTCGATTATTACTAGAAAAAATTACAATTAAAGAGCTCTCTAATTCAATTATTACTAGTAAAAATTACAATTAAAGAGCTCTCCAATTTAATTATTACTAGTAAAAATTACAATTAAAGAGCTCTCCAATTTAATTATTACTAGTAAAAATTACAATTAAAGAGCTGTCTAATTCAATTATTACTAGTAAAAATTACAATTAAAGAGCTCTCTAATTCAATTATTACTAGTAAAAATTACAATCAAAGAGCTGTCTAATTCAATTATTACTAGTAAAAATTACAATCAAAGAGCTGTCTAATTCAATTATTACTAGTAAAAATTACAATCAAAGAGCTGTCTAATTCAATTATTAGCTCTATAATTAAAAATGAATGGATGTCAATGGAGACATATGACAAGTAAAAAATAATTTGTAGAGCTCTCCAATTGGAATTGTTACTAGTAATAATTGAATTGCAGAGCTCTCTAATTTAATTCTTACTAGTAAAAATGCAATTACGACGAGTAACGCTGGGAACAATTGAATCTAAAACAGCTTGCCATAGAGTACGGTAATCTTGCCACTGAAGTGTAAATGCTATTAACGCTGTCGTAACGCTCTCATGACTCGAATGTGTGATCACAGTGAACATCATCATATCGCCCAGCCCTTCTTACCGCCACACACTTCAATCATTATATCACTTACATATTTATGCATTCATGAAACTGCATCTACATGAATTGCTGGAATCCATAAAGTAAATGCACATATTTTCAGTGAGTTTCATCAACATCCTCCCAGAACCATGAACGTATAAAACTCACTTTAAAGTGTCTAGAATCCGGTTATCCAAATTAGCACCAATTCCTCGTGTGTAATCTTGGGCTAAATTGCACTGATACAATATTTAGGCTTTATATATGTACAGGAAACCATTCCAGGAGCTTATGCTTCATGCAAGTACAACTATAATTCAGATTTCTAGAGGATCCGTGACTAAAACTAAAACTAGCCTCCCAAAGCCTTAACCACTAAAGCCATTCACAGTCACACGAGTGAACACGACCAATCATTGGAGGAGAGAAGTTGTTGAATTGATGTTAATGAAACTTATGTGCTAAATGTGTTACTTCATTTGGGTCCATCTATCAAGACAACACTCTGAGTTTATGCTTTAAATGTGTGTGAATCGTTTCCACGTTATAGTCTCTGATGATTGACAGCACATGGATCAGTTTTCCGCAGGTTTTGTGGGGATTCCTGAACTTGTGATTGAATGTATTAATTCATGAAACGCATGCCTTGCATTATGTTTGAATGTGGAAACATGGTACTCGGCCACGACGGCCTTCATGTTTACAGCGCTATCCCTGACCATTACTGATGTTCATATGACGACACTACAGTGGACTAAAGGCACTTTATTTCTCTGACGGGATTCCTGATCATGTTATTAATAGGTTATCTTAAATATTCAGTGAGGATACAACTATCATTTTTTTTCTAATATGAAAATGTTTTCTGTTTTAGTCTTCTGTATACTGATTTATCCATGACTTCCCCTTTAGATGTTAAGAATAAACCTGTCATTTGCAGTGAGTTTTCACAGTATGATTTAAAGCTCAGTTCAGATTCACCCGTCGCTCCGTTCTGGTTTTGGGTTGTTGTTAAAAATGGACAAAATAAAGAATCTATTGTAGTCTTTTGACTTAATTGTACTTTTTTTCCTGTGACAACCTTGTGTGCATGATTACGATTACAAAACAATGTTGTGAATATTTAACTATATAAAATAAATCCATAAATAAATATTAACACTTCAACCAAAAAAGAATACTGTTATCCAGCAAGGATGCATTAAATTGATCATAAAGTCATATATAATGTTATCAAAGTTTTAAATGCTGTTTTTTCTGTTCATCAAATAATCCTGGGGAAAAAATAAATGATTTCCACAAAAAAAACATCAATATTGATAATAATATTTTTCCTGAGCAGCAAATCATCGCATTAGAGTGATTTCTGAAGGATCATGTGACACTGAAGACTGGAGTAATGATGCTGAAAATACAGCTTTGATCACAGGAATAAATTACACTTTGCTATATATTCACATAGAAAACAGTTTTTTTTTAATTGTGATAATATTTCACATTATACTTGTTTTTGATCACATACTGTAAGGTGAGCAGAAACAATCTAATGTAAGTTTGGATAATTCTGTCTCTAAATTCTGTTTGCTTGTTTTTCTACAAACTGTAAACAGTCTATTCAGACTAATAAACCACGTTTTTATTTTATTTATTATTTCTATTTTGTTTGATTGAACATTGGTATCTTTTTATCATAAAGCTGTTGGAGCCACCTTGTGTTGCGTCTCAACATTTAACTTTCACTCAACAAAGGAATGTTGTTCTAATAAATTGTTAATTGGTTTAATTAATTATAAAGCTAAAGTTATAAACCTGTTGTGATTTCTATGCAGGTTTACATAAATCATGGAAATAGTGTAGTTATTAAGAGTGGTTTTAAAATACGTTACTGACTGTAATCAGAAAGAAACTGCTGTTTGTGAATCCAATCTCTTACAATTGTTTAAAGAAACAACTGAAATGTCATTGCAAGTTATTGGTCAAAATGTGTGTGAACCATGGTTAAATCTGTTAAAAAGTTTATTTTTCATTTTTAAGGGTTGTTTACAGGACAACACGTAATATGCATGTGATAAAGTATTGTTTTCAAAAACTTGCACTTTGTTACACGTTTTTTAAAAGTTTGCGTTTTCATGGCCCAAAAGCACCGTTGTTGAGTAAACGTCCAAAACACCGAAAGTTTCCCATTTGTAGTTAAAAATGCTGTCGTAGGCTAAGCATCACTGATAGTGATTACAAATCTAAAATCGAGAACCATCTCAGGCAGTTTGACTCCGGCTGTAATGTTTCCTCAGAGAATCAAACCTGACGCTCAAATGATTCCAGCCTTTAGGGCCAAAAACACGCGAATTTTAACGCGTATTTCACGCGTAAAATACACGTGAAATACGCGTTGGTGTATTTTACGCGTGAAATACGCGTTGATTATGTCAAGCGTATTGTATTTTACGCATATTTCACGTGTATTTTACACGTGAAATACGCGTTAAAAATCAGTATGAACGGGTCGGTGTCATTGGCTGCTGAAGACTTGGGTCTAACCATTTCTGTGAGCTTAGAGGGGTGTACCTTTCATAGACTAGGCTACCACCACCAGAAAAAAAACTGTCGGGGTCAATATCAAACATAATTTAATAAGTATTTATACAAAGGGTTTATGAAGTTAAATGCATATAAGTAAATAAAAAATAAATATGCATATGACCAAGAGGCCAACAGTGGTAAATAATGTAATGACACCTTTACATATCTCTGTGTGTGTGTGTGTGTGTGTTAAAGGCACATGTACTATGCTGGTGATTCCACTCAGCCTCTATAGAGAGCAAAAGTTGGGTTCCGGAAGTAAAATCTCCATTCATTTTCTCCATAACTGATTTTTAATGATCACTTATAAACAGTTATGATGGTGTTAATCGATGGCATGTGTTTTTGTCAAAGCCATCAATCTGTATTATTTAAGCTTAATTTTTAAACGACCTTGTTTTTAACAGCTGAATTTGTGGTTAAAAAACTACATTACCCATGATGCTGTACAGAAAATCCCCCAATCAGTCGCAGCGATCAAAGAGCGTCCAATATTCCACACTTTGTTCTTTCAGTTATTAAAGCAACACTAAGTTAGATTTTTTTACCTTAAAATAATGTTTCCAAAATCGTTTCAGTGGTTCATCAAGTCGTAACAGGGTGAAAGGCACTTATGCCTCCGCTTTGTGGTCCTACATCTGCTATAACCACACTATGTAAGAATGACAGATCGGGCCGAGTTTCTGTAGTTCTAATGAGACATAAGAAAACTACAAATTGGACTTGCTTTACGTCAAGCGTTACAATAGTCATTATTTAGTTTTTCTTAATTTCTGATGTCTAAATACATCATACTTTCGTGAAATCATGCAACATACTCTACCTTGTCGATGGATATCGTTCATTCCACAGCTGGTGCTGATAAACAGCGAGTGTGTGCGCGACAGTAGGATGTGCTTGGCTAAATGGAAAATTCCACTTCCAACCTGTAGGGCGACCGCAGAGAAAAAGTTACTTGATGTTGATTTAAGTGCATCATCTGGGTATTTCTGAATTTTCACTGTGAACACACTATTTATACTACAACGCAGCAATACTGCAAATACTACTATACACAACAACTTGCACTATCAGCGGATGTGATGAACCAACAGTTAAATAGAGGTTTAATTAAAGTGGTTTGAGTGACTAATAATCAACATTTAACATGTTATCCATGTTATCTGTTTGGCCATCAACTTGAACGCACCTGAAGATTATTGGAACGTATCCATTATTTGAGTACATCCATTATTAGACCGTTATTATTAGAATGCATCCATTCCCAAATGGATGCATTCCAATATGGGAAAAATGAATGGGAAAAATAGTTGGAAGACATCCATATTGGAACGCACTTGAACGCATCCATTATTGGAACGCATCCATTATTTCAACGCATTTGAACGCTTTTCTTTTTAAAAAATGGGAAAAATATTTGGAACGCATCCATTATTTGAGTGTGTCCATTATTGGAACGCACCTGACCGTATCCATTATTGGAACGCACCTGACCGTATCCATTATTGGAACGCACCTGACCGTATCCATTATTGGAACGCATCCATTATTGGAACGCACCTGACCGTATCCATTATTGGAACGCACCTGACCGTATCCACCTGACCGTATCCATTATTGGAACGCATTCATTATTGGAACGCACCTGACCGTATCCATTATTGGAACGCACCTGACCGTATCCATTATTGGAACGCACCTGACCGTATCCACCTGACCGTATCCATTATTGGAACGCATCCATTATTGGAACGCACCTGACCGCATTCATTATTGGAACGCATCCATTATTTGAGTGTATCCATCATTGGAACTCACCTGACCGCATCCATTATTTAGCGTATCCATTATTGGAACGCATTTGAATGTTTTTCTTTTTACAAAATGGGAAAAATAAATGGGATAAATATTTGGAACGAATCCAATTTTGGGACGCACCTGAACACTTTTTTTTTTTTTTTACATATGGGGAAAATGAATGGGAAAAATACTTCCGGAACAAGGCCATAGAAAAAGTGTGCAGGCACTTTATTTGCCGTTGGCAAGACTAGATTGATGAACTGTCTGGTTATCCATAACTTTAATGGTTTTCTCTGCATTGTCCACGTTCCTGATGAGGGTCTCGAGACGCCTCTTGATCTTCTTCTGGTCCTCCAGAGCGCAGCTGATCACGACGCTCTGAAACTTCTGGTCCACAGGCACGGGTGGAGCGTCGGTCACACACGCGGCGTGAAGAGACTGAAGTCTTCTCTTAGACGCCTCCATGTCCTCCAGCAGTTTCCCAGCGATCTCATCGATCATGGCGATGGCCTTCTTCAGGGCCTCCTCCTGCTGGCCACTCCTGATGGTGTCCACAGATACGTGCACTGTCAAAGCCCTGCTCATGAGTCTGCTGGCGGTCAGAGAGAGCTCTTCCCGTTCCCCTGAAACACACGGTCAGATGAGCGCTAATGCATGATCCATTAGCAGCCGCTAAAGCACTCGAGCAGATTACCGTCACAGATGTTCCTCATCTCCTGGCTGTTCTGTATGGACTGGATCATCTCGATCAAGCTCTCTCTCTCCTGCTCCATAGCAGTGGCTTCCTCGCGAAACGCCTCCACCCTGAGACACACACACATTGTACCAGAAACAACTCTATCAATTACCAAACACAAAGCAAAAGTGAAAAACATGCAAATATAAACATCACTCCTGAGATTGCCGCCTTAAAATGCTGAACCATTTCAATTTGAAAGCTGTCTTTGTCATAAATAACACCATTTGACCTCTAAGCATATTGGAGTTTATTAAAAAAATGTATAGTATCCCATTTTCATGATAAATACAACACTTATCATACGTGATTTTTCCCCGTATTTCCACATTGTTGCGTATATCAGTCAGGATTCTCTCATTTGAATATAGTTTTTTTCAGTTATTATTACGAGTATTTCAATAATTATAATTAAGGTTTCAAGCGTGTCCCACGAGTTATTGTGCACTCTCTTATTGTTGACTTCTAATGAAAGTTGGAGAAGCTAAATGAAATATCGTAAAGCAGTCATGATTCCGTCCGGCAGAAGCGGTGGCAGACAGAACAGCTGTATAGGCTACTACAGGTTAAATACGGTGCCCAAATAATATATTTGTTATCGAATTGGCTGCTCAATCATCTTAATCGATCCGAAATTTCGATCTGATTGAAAGGGGAGGTTTATTCCTTTTCTAATCCGATCGAGAGAACATATAAACACTTGATCGAATTGAAAACTGAAACTGAAAGGACTGCATGTGTGCGGATCGAGCTCCCTGGTCCTGAATTGTAAAAAAAAAAAAAAACCTCTCAAAATGCTGGCTGAAAATCGAACCCGATCCAAACTTTTTTTTTTTTTTTTTTTTTGACGAAGGAAAGTTTCGGAGGCAGTGTGCAAGCGTGATTGATTGACTGACATAACTTGAGGTCGAATTTTTTTTTTTTTTTTTAATAACGTGCGAAAATTTCGGTGTGCAATGCCTTTTACAATGTGAAAACATGGCAAGCCGTGTTAGCTTTTATTCATTTCCAGGACATGAATTCTTGATATCAACAATTACATTCTTGATATCAACAATTACATTTTTTGATATCAAGAATTTAATTCTTGATATCAACAATTAAATAATTGATAAACAATTAAATTCTTGATATCAACAATTACATTTTTGATATCAAGAATTCAATTGTTAATATCAAGAATTACATTTTTGAAATCAAAAATGTAATTCTTGATATCAACAATTGTATTTTCACTAGGCTGCCATTCAAAACCAATTGTTGATATCAAGAATTGATTTCTTACTAGTTGAAATTCCAATTTCACATATCAGAAATACAATTATTACTAGTAAAAACCTTTATTTTTGATATCAATAATTAAATTGTTACTAGTTGAAATGTCTATTCTTGATATCCACAATTGAATTGCTACTAGTAACAATGTTCATTTTTGATATCTGAAATAATATTGATATATCAGAAATACATTTTCAGATATCAAAAATGGTAATTTTTACTAGTAACAATTGAATTGTTGATATCAAGAATAGACATTTCAACTAGTGACAATTTAATTATTGATATCAGGAATTCACATTTTTACTAGTAACAATATAATTATTGATATCAAAAATGATATTTCTACTAGTAAAAAATCAATTCTTGATATCAAGTGATCAAGAATTCATATCCTGGAAATGAATAAAAGCCAAAACGGCTTGTCACCATGTGCATTGTGTCAAATATGTATTTAAATGTTAGCACATATAGTAAAGACGTTTAATTTAAAGTGGGGATCCTATGGTTTACAGACGGACTCGATTTTTTCTGCATTCTACAAAACCTATTTTCATGCAATTCCACATTATGCGCGTGTTGAAAACAGAAAAGTTTGCATTTGCAATTTTTTAAAAACTGTCACAGTTTATTCGTCAATAAACAACAGTTATTTGAGCAAATCCTCATGGATCATTTTAAATCTCGTGTGAACCGACCCCAAGAGTCAATCCACTAATCTCACCTCATTTCAATTTGATCCAGATTTTCCAGTAAGCGTCCGGACCGGTCCGCCATTGAAATGGTTCGGGTGAACTTGCCTTTATCGTTCATTTTCGCGTTAATTTTAGCTTGTGCCATATCTGCCGCTCGTCGCTTTAATGAATGTTTAACGGGTGCAGAGACCTATAGGATATAAATGAAACACACCCGACCCGAGCAATATAGACCTGTCCGGTCAGCAAGTGAATCGGATTCAGAAGAATCGATTCGCAAGGGGCTTTCAAATCACCGTGCCACGGTAAAGTGACATTTAACAGTCTGTTTTTTCCGAGCAAGTAAAACATTAATCTGGCACAAAACATATAAATTAGAGAGTAACAGCGCCAAAATGTAACGCTTTTGCAGATGACAAAGTGGCGCTCCTTCATCTCTAGATTAAAATTAATCTTTTAAATAACGCTTAAACAGTAGTAAAATAGGAAATCAACAAAAATATTAAAACACCATATTAAATCAAATGAAAACTTTGTGATGACTCAAACGAATCGCGAAACCGTTAGTTGGAATGAATCGCCCAAAAAGAATCGACTCTCTGAACTGAATCGACTCTCCAGCGCTATCGACCACCTTCTAGCGGTTTCCAGGCTCTTGAGTAACATCTCCAAACATGGGCTGGAAGGAACTGCCCTCCGTTATTCACTCCTTCAGACACGAGTGTAGGAGTTCACTTCTGGGATTTCAGAGGAGGGTGGGATCCGCTTTAGGGTCAAGAGTCAAGATGACATCAGAGAAAAGACAATAAGCAGAACACAATGAGATATTGCTCAGGCAAACGCCATGTTTATTACTTTCCTTTATTTGAACTTAAATGAAAAACACAAAAAGAAAAGAAATACATGTTTAATTGCAACAGTGCATGGACGACATGAGGAAACGGGTCCGTTTCTCTTTCCAAATCAAAACTCCTGTAAGCTTTTTTTCAATGCTTCTTCCAACTCTGCAAAATGAGAAAATGGGGGGGATACTGTTACAATGCATTGATCAAATTGTATGCAGATTTATAATTCATCCAGCCAGTGATTACTCATACTAACATGACAGATGCAGTGACAGTGTTCAACCTGACAAATTCAACATCTGTGTGCTTCAACCATATATGTGCTCCTGAGACCCTCATAAATCCCATCTATTACAATAAATATCACACTGAGACGGAGTTTCATAAAAATGAAACATACCCACAATGATTATACTCTTCATGCATGCAAAGCTGGCAAAATAAACAACTGATTAATGCATGAACAGTGAACTCTCAACACTACAGAAACACAACTGTAGCACCAGAACAACGTGATGATGACCCACCGATATCCAACTCTTTTGATTTCATGGCCTCGTCCGCACTCAAGGCCAAAGCCAGTTTCATGTCATGATCAAACACTTCTATGGAGAAATAAAAACTGGTCAGCACTGAGATCAAATGAACATTGCAAATCTGAAATTAAATATTATGGAAGTACCGAAAAACCAGAGAAGAGAAAGGTGAGGACCTACCTTCATCTTCAGAATCTTGCGAAACCCTCACTTCTTTTTTTACATTGAAAGCATTCGAGGTAACGGCAATCTGCACATCTCGAAACTCCTCCACTGAAGAACAACAAAAACACATTTTTACTGTGATCGCACATAACAGGGTTCAGTTTCAAATCAGGAAAAACTGGTGTGACTGATCTATAACTCAATACTGTGCTGCAGGGATGATGTTAGGGTGACCACCTGCTAATAAGCCCAAGGGGGGACAAGGGGTATGTTTCTGAGGGACAATGTGGGACACTGCTTGGCGCGGCGGCCCCACGGGCAGACTCTGATAGTGGTTTACCCATTTCTAGCACATACCACCTTACATGGCATATTAATAATGCCCTATTACCTGGTAAACATGTGTAGGCTAATTGCTAATGCTCATGAATAGGCCAACCAATGTGTATTTTTTTTTCTAAATAAAGATTAATATTTTCAACATTCAATGAATTGACAGATGCACTTCCACTTACGATTTACTTTAGCTATTTAATTGTATTTATTTTTCATTACAATTTATTCACTTTAAATAAATAATAATATAAAATTATAGGTTTAACAGGAATTATAGTTGCTCAACACTACAGGAACAGTTTAAAAAAAAGTCGAAAAAAAAGTCTAAACTCACAACTCCAGAGGTTCACGGAACGAGAAGGTGCGCTGTCATGACAACAATGAAAAAGTTGACATCAACCTAGTCAGCAGGTCACGTGGGAGTGGCAACCAGTGTTGGGGAAGTTCACTTTCTACATGAACTAGTTCAAAGTTCAGTTCACACATTTTAAAATGAACTAAGTTCAAAGTTTGCACAGAAATGGAAGATTTTTCCCATCTTCACCAACCTTGTTATAAAATCCGTTTAAATTATCATACGACGCCTTTGTCGACGGCTGCTGCGGTGCGAGACTGGTGGCTGGTGTTGCCAGATTGGGTGTTTTTTCGCTACATATTAAGCTCTGTTTACGGTGAGTTTTAGCCGGGTTTTCGCCTGGAAGGCTCTATAGAAATCTGGCACCCCGAAGTTAAACTGAGAGAGCGTGCTCAGAATGAACGAGTTCACAGTAACGTTCATCAGGACAGGCAGTAAAACAATACTTTCAGTTTACCCAAAATATGAACGAGTTCATAAACGTGAACGTGTTCAGGCACAACGTTTGCCTGCTTGGGTCTCTATGATTTTTTTTGAGCAAGCATTTATGCGTGACACGGTCTCAATTTGCGGGACGCATGAATTGGGCTTCAAACGCTGTGCGCGCACGCGCTATGCGGGACGGGTGGTCACCCTAGATGATGTGCTTTTGTAGGCCAAAACCCAGAAACGTCCGGTTCCATCATCCTGAAGTCAAAAGATTATTTGGGTTTTTGCCAGAAATAAGGTCTGTGGTGAACACAAGCTCAAGATATATTATAAAATACATTAGTAATGTAGGCTTGCCGCGATAGACGGTGTTGACGGTGTTACCGGTTTTAAGCCCCATCACCGGTGACATCACTTTCCCACCGTGACACCGCGATGTCTTGACTTTTTTTTTTTAAAGTATTCGTTTTTGCTAAAATATTTATTTGAATTAATTAAAAATAATAATTTTCAATTATTTAGTTCTGAAGAGAGCATTATAATTAAAAATGAACTGCGCAACGCGTGCCGTCACGTCACAGATCAGCAAGCATCAGGATTCCATTTAGCACGTGTGGAGACGAGAACGAGTCAAATTACAGAAAAGCAAGATAATGGCGGAAGATTTGGTGTCAAAACGCAATGCAAAAGCGCCTGTTTGGCAATATTTTGGCCAATATATATTAATGTTAATAAATGCCAATTTATAGTGTTTTACTTTTTTTTAGAGTGCTGTCATTTATGTAGGCTAAGGTCCTTTTTAAAGTTTTTATTTTATATTCGTCTCTTTTTATTTGGTTTTATCTTATTTAAACTTTGTTTAATTTATTTAGGCCTATTTTGTTTTCTTATTCGTTAATAAACGTTTTTTTTTTTTTTTTTGGGCCCACAGTTTGCGGATTTTCACTTTTTTCAGCCTATGCATGGGGTTATTTTTATTCGTTCGTTATGCTAATAAAAGTTCTGTCTATATTTTATTCGTTTATTATTCTAATAAAAGTGCTGTCTAAATAAAAGTTTATTGTCAGCGAGTTGTTTTTTTTTTTTTTTTTTTGTCCATTCCAGCAATTGACGCTGAATTGCAATTGACGCTTATTTCGAAAGTGAAAGTATGTCATTTATGTAGGCTAAGGTCCGTTTTGAAGTTTTTATTTTATATTCGTCTCTTTTTAATTGGTTTTATCTCATTTAAACTTTGTGTAATTTATTTAGGCCTATTTTATTTTCTTATTCGTTAATAAACGTTTTATGGTTCTTATTTGTTTGGGCCCACATTTTTGCCGATTTTCACTTTTTTCAGCCTATGCATGGGGTTATTTTTATTCGTTCGTTATGCTAATAAAAGTCTATAAATAAAAGTTTTATTATCAGCGAGTTGTTATTTTTGTCCATTCAAGCAATTGACGCTTATTTCGAAAGTGAAAGTATAACGCGCACGCATTTAAAAGCTATTTAACCCCCCCGCCCCGCCCTCCACGGTGACACCGGGATTACCGGTGTTGTCACACGTCGATTAACCGGTGGGAAATTTTCCTCACCGCGGCAACCCTATAGTAATGTCCCCTTATGATTTCTAAAAAGCTTTTACTTGTCTTGAAAAAGGTTGCTAACAAGCGTCTCGATGGGACTAGAGGATGAGATCTACTATTGTGTTAACCACACGTTTGAACACTACACTGTAAAAATGAATATGCTTTATCTAATCAATAGAATTGTGGCAACAGATATTATTAATTAAATTTAACAAATTTGAATAGAGTAATAATTAATGAAATTATTCCTTAAACGTTAACTATTTAAAATGAGTAAAGTTTACATTAAAAAAATGTAACTAAAATATCTCACTAGCAGACAGACATCAAAGATTTAATTAAGAACTCTTTATTATTTTATATTGCCAACATTGAAGACACCTGATGTTAACAAGCAGAATCACTAAAGGAGAAAACTGTAAACGAACCTAAAACAAACACTGATCACTATAATGGTGACTTAAAACATTTTTTTTTTACATTTTTTTTTTTGGTTGTTGTAAGTTTCTCATTTTAAATGGTTAACTTTTAAGGAATTAATTTGATTAATTATTACTCAATACTAATTTGTTATATTTAATTCATAATATTGCTTGTAATCTGTTGCCACATTTTTTTATTATTATTATATAAAGCATATTCATTTTTACAGTGTATTCCAACTTACTTAACCGACCGTTCAGCGTAGTGTAAAAGAAAAACATGAGTCTTTTCGGTATTAAAACAGGTGTTGTACCGAATTCTGACTCGCGGACAAATCGCACGCCCCTTCGCGTGCACGCGCCTCTCACCTAATACGCGCTGAAGCGAGTTTGAATGCACTTGATTTGCCATATGCGTTTATCGATTGATTTTTTTCTCACAGCAAGCACATCCTGCATGAAAGCTTTGTCTACACTTACAAAAATTGACAGACAGTGAACTAATGTGGATAAAACATGCAAACAAACAAAAATGCATGGGAGATCGATTCAGACTATAAACTTCTACGGGTAAAGCTACCATATAAAGCTACCAGCTGTCAAAACATTACTGTTAATTTCAAATAATTTAATTGAACGTAACTTTTGCGTGTTAAACACGATGTGGTTCATAGTAAAATATTGTATTACTCTCCCCATTGCACAAGAATGTCATTAAAAATAATAATAACCTTTTTCATGAAGATAGGCTTATAAACAAATTATGCATGCACTTTTGTAATATTGCAGCAGGTTTTCTTCAAAAAAGGGCACATGAACACAAAACAATGAATTTCCATAAGCAATCCCAGCTGGAATTTTTCTTAAAATTTTGTTCTGTTCTAATGTTTTCAGCGGGTAGTTTTGTTTTTGTTTTGTTTTTTCTCCCAAAAAGAACATTTTATAATGTGTTATCTCAGCAACTTTCCCAAAACATCCTCAAAATATTACAGTTAAAACATCCTTAAAACATTACTTCAACATTACATTCAAATGTTTTCTTTAAAACAGTGGGCTACCTTATGGCTTTACAAGTTTAAACCAAACTTGTAGGGAAT